GTGGCATTTTCTCTCACACTTCTTTTGCAATATGCTAGTTGATTTTCATTCCTGTAAGAAATGCTCTTAGATTTGTGCTGACAGATCAGAAGTAAAAACTGTTTACATGTTAAAACTTTGTCTCAAATTCAGCTAAAGTGCAATAACTAATTTTATATGACACAGCATCACTGGCAGGTAGTTAAAATTCAAATTATTACTTCCCTTCCCTAATTATTAAATGAAAGAAAAGCAAAAACCTGAAAATGTGTGTTTTTAAATGAGCGTTAAATAAATATTTAAATGTTTCTAACATGATTTAAGGCAATCAGTTTCCTCAAATTTAGTAAAGTTGTAAAAACTAGAATGTTGCCTGTAGTTTTTATCATTTCCTCCATTAAATACTGTAATATTAAAATATTTCTGTTATGCTAAGAATGACTGTGGTTTTAAGAGATTTGCATAAGAGGTGGAAGCAATCAATTTTTAATTTCCTTTTTTCAACAGAGAAAACAGTTTCAGCTTCAATAGAAATTGTGTCCAAATCTTCACTATGGGTTTCACTCGAGGGCAAGGGTGATGCGATTCGGGTAACTTCAGTCTCAGAGTTTAGTCTGCTTTAGTCAAACTCCAGTTTGTCTAGAATCTCTGGTTGGTTTGAAAGATCAATTGAACTTTGATGCAAACCAAAAAAGTGAACTCTGGTCTGCCTACAAACATAGATCTAGGTTCGACTGAAGTGAACTCTGGCGTGGTTTGAATGTGAAAAACAGGAAGTGGAGTGTAAGTCAGGGCATTATGGGTAAACGCAACCAAAACAAACACATGAGTCTAAGTGTGTTAGATTTTACAGCCACTAAAAATCTGACACCACTCCATTTCTGTTTACATTTGGTGAAGAAGTTGTGCTCAGCGTCTCCTTTGGAAGTTTTTGTTTTTTTTTCCTTCAGTGGTTCTTGATGCAGCGCCACCACAGGCGGGAGGGGGACAAGTTTTTTTGTTGTTTTTTTGTTGTTTTTTTTGTTTTTTCCCCAAGTTTTGGTTAAGTTTTTGGTTCATTTCAAAAAGAACCACACCAGCTGAAAATGTAACAAATTTAATGAAATTTTTGTCCCCAACTTTGGATGACCGGGTGTGAAAACACCTACATGAATGTTTGGTAGTTTACCAAGAGCTTACATCTCTCTCATGAGGTTGGAGGATTTCCCTCAATTTTAACGTTATTAATGGTAAAACTATAATTGCCGGGGGTTATTCCAACAACTGTACCCTACGGCATGGGGACTGTTCCTTTGGGTGTAGGTAAGAAACCTTTAATTCTGGCTCTCTACGTATCTCTGTTAATTTTCTCTGCCTTATTCACTGGGGCATGTAGAAGTGCAGGCATGATGGAGGACATCTCTGCTTGTTTAACCCTGGTGTTGCAGATGACTCTCTTGGGTTTGAGCAGCCTTGTAAGGAAGGTGGAGTAATTGAAAGGGAAAGCCTAGACTCCTGGAAGCTGTGGGATGATCCCTGCTGAACTCAGCCTGGATGAGACGCTTGGGATTCTCCACAGAAACCCTCCACCTTCGCTAACCCCAAACCTCCTGGCCCCCAGCAGGCTGGGCTGAGACTCTCACACAGCCTCTCAGGCACTACGAGCCAAAGACCACAGGGATAATTAAGGTGCAGGACTCATTTCAGCCTTTATTCTCCCTCATCCTCTCATCTTTATCAGCTAAATTGAAACTGTCCTTGAACTTGTGAAGACCCTGGCTAATTAGTGGAGTGTATAACCTTCCAATCTCCCTCATTATGCTGTCTTACCATCAGTGTACTCACAACCAGTTTTTCAGCTTTCTTGCACCATTTACTTCAACTCTGTTGATGGCCGAACCGGAGTTGTTCTGCGCTAAACAATACAGAAAATCTATGTATCCTTGTTCCCTAGAAACAAACGGCTAAAAGAATGTGTTCAAAGCGCAGCAGACTGAACTGAGTGTATATTTTCCTGTCGAATTGATAAAAAAAAGGTCCAATTTCTCATCAGGAAAAACCTAATGTGGTAGAGGAGGAACAAAACAGCTCACACACGACATGAAGTTGAAAAGAATCAATGTCAGAAATTCTGAGTTAAGTCTTCATGAATAGTTATGACTGTTGTCATAAAGCAGGGGTCCCCAAACTTTTTCCTGCGAGGGCCACATGACT